CCAGGAGAAGCAGTAAGTGAATTAACCATAAATACAGTATTTCTGTTTGAAGTGAAGTGATTTGTGGCCAAGTTTGGTGACCCCTACTCGGAATTTGTGCTCTGCATTTAACCCATCCAAGTGCACACACGGTAGTGAACACACCCAGAGCAGTGGGCAGCCTTTTTTGCTGTGGCGTCCAGGGAGCAGTTGGGGGTTCGGTGCCTTGCTCAAGGCACCTCAGTCATGGTATTGAAGGCAGAAGAGAGCACTGGTCATTCACTCCCCCCACCTACAATCCCTGCTAAACCTGAGATTCGAACCCACAACCTTCAGGTTCACCTTTGGGTTACAAGACCAACTCCCTAACCATTAAGCCATGACTGCACAACTTTGTATATTGTTATTGATATTAGTATCTAAAGTCGAATAGTTTATTGTACTCTAATATCTATAATTGTACAGGAATATCTATAGTAGTATTTATAGTGTTAGTATATGTTGGTATAAGGGTTAAATTACCTGTTAAGTTTAATATAATCTTTTATTGTTTCAATCAGAGCCTGAGAATCCAGTTCCTCCTGCCTCAACCAATACAGAACGTAAGAAAATTAATCAGATGTAAAATATTATTTTTAATATTATATAATTAGCATTTATATTAGTATCAATAGTAGTATACTTCATTGTACTCTAATATCTATAGTTGTATAGTGTTATTATGGTAGAAACTACGTTAGTATACATGGAACAGTATTATCTTTAGTACTTTAATGATATAAATAGTGGAATAGTGATAGTATATCAGAGTAATATTTATTGTATAGTATTACTTTTATAGTGTAATATTAACGTTAGTACGTGGTATCTATAGTGGCATGGTGTTAGTATAGTAGAATCCATAGTAGTATAGTGTTAGTATAGTAGTATAGAAAGTTGTATTGTTTTAGTATATGTTGCTATAAGGGCTAAATTACCTGTTAAGTTTAATATGATCTTATATTGTTTCAACTAGAGCCTGTTACTACTACCGAGCCTGTTTCTACTGCCTCAGCCAATACAGAACGTAAGTGAATAAATCATATAAATACAGTATTTCTGTTTATATATTAGTATTTATATTAGTATCAATAGTAGTATAGTTCATTGCTCTCTAATATCTATAGATGTATAGGAATGTCCAGAGTGTTAGGATAGTATAGTTTTATCTGCAGTGGCATAGTAGTATCTACAGCTGTATAGTGTTATTATGGTAGAAAGAACATTAGTATACATGGAACAGTATTATCTTTAGTATTATAATAATATAAATAGTGGAATAGTAGTATATATAGTGATATAGTATTACTTTTATAGTATAATGTTAACATGTTAGTACGTGGTATCTATAGTGGTATGGTGTTAGTATAGTAGTATAGTGTTAGTATAGTAGTATAGACAGTTGTATTGTTTTGGTATATGTTGCTATAAGGGCTAAATTACTTGTTAAGATTAATATGATCTAATATTGTTTCAACTAGAGCCTGTTTCTACTACGGAGCCTGTTTCTACTGACTTACCCAATATAGAATGTAGGTGAATAATTCATATATATATAGTATTTCTTTTTTTTTTATATTAGTATGTATAATGGTATAGTGTTTATACAATAGCAACTAGAGTGGTGTTGTGTTAGTATAGAGGAGTTTTCACTTTTCCTCTCTTAAGACTATGCTGAATCCTTGTTTGGTAAAATGTAAAATTATTCAGTTATATAGAATATCAGAGAGTTCAAGACCACCATGCAACTGTCAATCATTCCAGATTCATAAGTCGATTGTCTCATGTGCCTGCTTCATTTAACTCTGATATTAAATAAACTCTATGCAATATGGTAAAGGTAGGCAGGTCTGCATATTATATGGTATTATATAGGCTGCACTATAAGACCGATAAGTAGCTTACTGGGTAGTGTTACCACCACACAACCTGAGTTTCATGTGGTATCTCTGTGAGTAAAGTTTAGCTGTTTTCTGTTTTAGCCACAAGCCATCCAGCTCAACAGGATTACACAGAGGAACCGGGTAATTTATTTTGTCACTGTTAACTTTTTAATGTGTGTGTGTAGCCATTTTTATTAATTTTTCTTCTAATGGATTCCCAGCAAAAACACAATATAGGTGACGTAAACCATGGCAACTTAATTTAATTATAATCTAAAGCATCTTCATGCTATGATTGCTATTAATTTTGGATTTAAAAACTCATTAAATTGAAGTGATTCGATACAAAAGCCAATGATACTGCTGAATACAGATGAGTGAAAACACTCCATAAATGTTTTTTTTTTTCTGAAAGGGAATTCACTTGGTTTATAATGAATCACGCAAGTTTTTTTTTTTCACAGCAAGTTATGCTTGTGATTTCTTCTATTTATTATACCTACAGTGAAACACAGAACTTTTGTTTAGGCTCTTCTTCCTGTGTAATTCTCTAAACTCTGGTGTGGTTCATGTGACACTACCCCCTAGTCGACACGCTCAGGTTAAATGCAAGTATGGAGACGTGTTAGCATCCTCGCATGACGTCCTGTCCTGCTCCCAGATACACACTCACAGAAGTATAAATCAGCCCTAAGTACAGCAGTGTAGTATCTACAGTGGTATAGTGTTAGTAT